TCCGATATAATCCTAATACAAGTGTAACTCTATCACCACTCATTATAAATATAACATGGGGGTTGGTTCACAATTAACACATAGCCATTATTATTATTTTCAATTTCTGTAATCAGAAGGAAGCTGATAGGCAGAAAGTAATCAGATAGATGAAGAATCCAAAGATCATGATATATCCTAGTCCAGCCTTTTATATCCTATCTTCTATCAAAATTTTGTGAGTTAACTAAAGCATCAAGATTCCAATCCAACACAGAATCTAGCCTTTGACCAAATGAAAAAAAATCATAGAATCTAAATGTAGCCCACACAAGCATTCAAGTATGTTTACACATCAGGTTATGCATACATGTGAGTGTCATGTTAGAATGATGTGGCATATAATGATTGGCTTAATATTCTCCAATTCCCACACATGAATCAAAGTAGAATCCCACCCACACTAGAGGTGTATGTGCTTCAAAGTTTTTGAGTGACCAATCAAAGTATAGATTGCCATTCCCCCTCCAGTGGTAGCCAGCTCAAAGCAAAGGGTATTTCCTAGATCATGTGCAATGGGTTAGCCACATGATAATGTGTTTGTAATTTGTTTTTGCTCCATGGGGCTATCTGGCTATGCAACGAGGTACATAGAGTCATACCCCATCCCCCAACTTATGCGCAGGTGGGATTCAATCCCAAGCCTCCGCTACAATATGCAGGAGACCTTACCAATCAACCAGATGACACCTTGCAATAATGTGTATGTAAATTGAAGGTGGGGCTATTATACTGGAAAAAAAACTCGATACCAATCAACCGGGTATCATAAAAAATGTAACCAATTAGGTGGTTTTCATTAACATCACAGACTCACAGGGTGTTTTAATTGGATAAAGTTCTTCAAGTATTATGCTTTTCCGTATCATAATCAAACCCACTATATATTAAAATATTTTAATTTAACTTTTACCTTGAACCTGGAGCCAAGGCTATTTGAAGACAATAAATTCATCATTGCATCATGCACCATGCTCCAATTACTTGCATAGTTACACGGATTTTGAATCTTGACTTCACGCATTTTCTCTTCTTAGTAGATGTTTGTAGAGATGTAAAGTGGGGCATTACAGGCCGTGTTGCCCTCTCCAATGAAAAATTTGGGGGTTGGCCTGGCATGGCCCATGACCTAGGCCCATGCGGGCCCGTGCCGTGCCATGCTATGCTGTGGGCCAGGTTAGCCCGTGGGCCGAGCCTTGGGCAGGTCGGGTTGTGCATCGGGATAAAGTTGTTTATTAAAAAAATTGACAAAAAACTTAAAATTTTAATTTTATATGAATTTTGTGTATATAATTGCTTATATATACAATAATTAAATAAATTAGTATAATAAAATTATTTATTTTATTAATAATTATATACTATATATTATTATATAATTATAGTTTATATAATATTATGTAAATATATATATATATAAATATAATATATAATATAAAATATATATAAATAATATATATGGGTCGTGCTGGGCCGGGTTGTGGGTTGGGCCGTGCCGTGCCGGCACGTGGACCTAAAACCTTAGGTCCAGCACGGCTCACATTATCGTGCCGGGCCGCGGGCGGCACGACCCGATTTACACCTCTAGATGTTTATCAACAAATATTAAATTTTATATTTGTTGTAAATTTTAATACAAATTAAATTGTTTTTTTAGAATTAAAATATACTCACATTTAGACCTATTCATGGGTCGAGCTGGGCTTTGCCTCTTTATAAATAGAAAATTACTAGGCTCGAGCCTGAGCCCAGCCTGACCATTGGGCCTAGATCTTAAGCCCGAGCTTGACCCTATATAAAGCATGAAGCCCGACTTTGATAGGTATTTTGTAACATATTAATTATATATTATTATTAATATATTATATATTATATAGTATTTTATACATTTAATATATGTAATACTTTTTTGCTTTTAATTTTATTATTATATAATATATAATGTATTATTAACATATATATTATATTTCTGTTATGTATTTAATATTATCAGATTAGGCTCGAGCTCGGGTCGGGCTTATTTGGAAAAGCCAGAGTCTGGCTTAAAAATAGTCGGGCCCGATTTTTAGAGCCCAAGCCTGAGCCTACGAGCTTAAAACTTTGTCCAAGACCAATTTAAGATGACTGGGCCGAGCTAGCTGATCGGGCTACCCAGCCCATGAACATGTCTAGTCATATTAATGCATATTTTAATTCTTCCATTTTCAATGTTTATTAATGAATTATATCTAGATGGTTCACACTCGGCATAAACTTCACATAAACCATAGAATTTGTTTTTTCGTATGTGTTGTGATTTGATCTTTCCTATGATTATGACTCTGCCTGGAGGAAATCGAAGATCCACTAGTATATATGCACCTTATCAACACTGACTATGACTCTGCCTCCACGAGTCCACTTCTTTCTTTGGTGACTATTCACTAGTATATATGCTCCACCAACCACTGCAAGGATGTCAAAGTACGCTCATGGTGTTGATCCCACTTGCAGATTTTGTGGCTCTGCTGATGAAACCATCAATCATCTCTTCTTTGGCTAATGACTTGTTTAAATCTTGTTTGAATCTTAGAGTACTGGATGCACATTCCAACTGGAGTTTTAAAGATTGGCTAATGACTTGATTTCACAATGACACCCCCCTTTGGATGATCATCATTTATCTGTCTTTATCATGGGTGGAGATTCGACCACTGTGATTTCAAGTCTGTTGGAGAATGGTTCATACCCTCTTTGGCGGATCAGAACATATGGCTGATAGCAGATTTTTTGTTAGGAAGATTTTTTTTACTGTCAGGGCCCGTTTGGTTCATAGGAATAGGGGTATAGAAGCAGAATTGGAATGGTCCAATTGTTTGGTTAGACGGAATCGGAATCCCATTCCCAGAGTGGCACCCCATTTGAGAGAATGGCTATTCCCTCCCCCTCCCTTGAGAATGAAAATGAAATCTCATTCTAACTTATTTCGATTCCGATTCCAACTTCGATTTTTGTCTTAATCAAACAGACTATGAAAATAGACCTTTTCGATTCTGATTTTAAGGGATCCCGATTTTGATTTTAACTATGAACCGAAACGGATCCTCAATTACTTGTATGGGCAATAAGGCTACTCATACTTCAGCATACATAGCATGCATACCTGGTATTTTTGTCCAATGTTTTTACATGGTACTCTATTCATTGATTGTACTTATTCAATGAATTAGGTGGTAAGGTACTTTGCCTTCTAACTTTTTTCCTAAAAAAATGGAAAAGTACTGACAGACTCAATGCAGATTTCTGAATCCCACTATAAATCTATAAACATTTAAAATATCAAATACCCACATTCTATGCATCAACGTCTGCCCGTAAATTGACATCAATTCCAAGCTGGCACCTACCCAAACAGTACTTTGGGCCTACAAATTCTGACCCTGGGCTAAACCATCATTCTCCAAAAAAAAAATCCAACATTCTTCTTGGTCTTTTCTTTTTCGAGATTTGATGCCAAAATCACCACTTAAAATAGGTGTTTGTTATGATGAAAGAAAAAAAATAGAAAATATGTATTAAATTGGGGAGTTTGTAGCGTTTGATGATGCCACAAAGACATGATATATACTGGAATAAACTTATAACCAATCCACTGGCATCATAAAAGTGGTATCCATATCGGGTGGGTTTAATTTTCATTATATCCTTAGTTTCTAAGTGAAATAAAAATAATTAAACCTAATTTAATTTCCCAAATTAATTAAAAACCAGGATGAAACTATACCAATTGCATTGATACTCCATTCTCTTGGCTACGCAACTCACCATCTACGTCTACGTTTCTTCAAGCGACTCATCGTTCCATACAGGAGTCTCCGGGGATACGACCAAAGTCTTCCAGCGAGAAAACTTCTGTGAGGTGAGGTGTTGTATTAGGGTTGGAAGTTAGATGATCAATAATCAGACTATCTAGTGTAGTGTAGGCGATTGAAGAGGTGGCGTGTAAGAAATCTAATTAGTGCTCAGTGTTGCATTGTTAGCCACGATTGTCTGAAGCATGGAGTTTGGATTCTCCAGTCGGAGGATAAGTCCCAATTGACAAGATTTTGGTATGTGTGGGAAGATTGCAGGCCCTAAGCATAAATTTTGTTCTCAAACTTTGATGCACGGGCATTTTAAAAACTAAAGCTATATGTGGAAAGATTGTAGAGTGCAAAACCTTATATTTTGTATTATTTTGTATGTATTTATGCTGTACATATTTGCATTTGTACTCTTTCCAAACTGAGCTGAAAGGAAAAATTACGCTGATACAAATTTATAGAAGTTCAAGACTTCAAGTAAGCTGACTGCAACTTGTGGTTGGCTTTTGTTTTAGGTTCTACTCTCTTGTTCAGTTGTTTGTTTAGGAGGAATAAAATGTGGAGTAGAAAGATGTGGTACCCACTTTTCATGACAAAAAATGACGGTTGGAGGAAGGATGTTTATATGAAAGGAGTAAAATTGGAAGTGAAATGATGTTGCCCCCAAGGGTGTCAATGGACTTTTGGATTGGACCAACCCGATCCAAAATATTTATTAGATTGGATTGGACCTGGTCCGTCCATGACAAATTCATATTAGATTGGCTTGGATTAAGCCAATATCTGGTCCATTGATATAAGATAAGAATAGATGTGTCAATAGATCGGGTCTGGGTTGAAACCAATCTAAATCAAAATGAATTTGAACAGATTGGACAGTCTAAACATTGAATTGGACCAGTCCAAATTGGTCCAAAACATTCATTGGATTGGATTGGACCTGATCCATTTATAATAGACTCACATTGGACTGGATCGGATTGGACCAAATCTAGTCCAATTGACACCCCTAGTTGCCCTCATTTTATATGAGAGAAAATGAAGAGAGGAAGGTGGTGCAAATATTGCATCAGTTTTCGGATGCAAAATTTGCTGTATGAGTAAGTGCAAATGAGAAAATGAGACAAAAAGTGCAAATTATACATCAGATAGAGGTACAGATCAAAGTTACAAGCAAGCACATGTAAATATGAAGCAGGGGTAAATTTTGCATCTACTTTGGATTTGCACTGCAAACAAACAGAGCCTTGATGGATATTCACATGAGAATGAGTTCTAACTTAACAACATAATGAACTCTAATAAGCACCTGCAAGCTGCAATCAGCTCATAGATGTAATTGAATCTTCTAGCTTCAAACCCAACTGAATACATTTACAGCAATTTGTTCTACTAATTCTTAGCTTGATGAATATACCGGAGCAATCTGTAACGGTACAACTGGAGTGGCATAAGGTGAATTCCAATCTGCATCAAATATATCTTGAAGCTGTGAGACAATGGCAGGGTTGTATGTCCCGAAGCTTATGCCTGCTGTTGTATAGAAGTAGTCCCATACAAGATTACTGGTTCCAATGTGTGCCCGTACATCACTAACTGCATACTTTCCATGGTTCACTCTGGAGTATCCAGGGTAAATATTGCCCGTTTTTCTCCCATATTTTCTGAATGCCCCAGTCATGTTGAACCCTGGCACCTTATAATACTTGATCTCAACTTTACCAGCACATTCATTATATTGCGAGGATGGACAGAGTATGTTGGAATAGAGAAGGGACTTCAAATATGCATCTGTGTTTTTGATAGAATGCGCCCAGTAGGCCACTAATATCTTGACTGTTGCGTGCTTGGAGAAGATGACCTGTTGTTCAGATGATCCATTAGAGCATAGAAACCTGAATAGGTACGTACGGGTAATCAAAATGGAAAGTGCAGAGAGATTGTAAGATGAACAACTAACAGGTAATCAAAATGGAAAGTGCAGAGAGATTGTAAGATGAACAACTAACAGGTAATCAAAATGAGTACTGATGAGGGCAGATGTATTGCAAGGTATTTTACTCGTGTTCCATTATGCAAAGAGAGAATACGGAACCAGATAGAGGCATATGGACTCCTAAGTCCCAATACAAAATATCCATTGTCCTCATCAGTTCTCAGGCTCAATACCAAGTTCTGGAGAAAACATCTTTATATTTGTTAAGAAACATGACAATTCTCTAAAGGTGTTCAGAACGCCTCAAAGTTTAATAATTGGATACATCCTCTGGAAGGCCAAAAGTAGAAACACGACAATGTTTGATTTTTTCAATGTACTTCTTGACTGGTAATTAGGGTTAAAACTAAAAATAAATCAAAAGTATTGTATGTTACCTCTGAGATTGCAGATGAAAGGGATGGCCAGTAGATTGTCGGTTTCGTGTACTGAGACTGACCAAGCCAGTCCATAGTACTAATTCTAAGAGTGGCCCCAGGACCAACTGATTTAATTGTATTTACCCACGCCTGTTCATCTGTCTGGTGCTTGTTAAATGACAACTGCAAAATACATGTTGAAAAATAAGTTGCGCTGCTCAGATAAAAAATGAAAATGGAAAGAAGTAAAGTCATTAGAACTTTTAGCAATTTGTAAAGGAAGAATGGAGGATAAAGTACCATTTCAATGGTTTAACTTTTCCATAGATCAGGTGCAAGCTTCAGCCATAGTTATTCAGGGGCCAAAACGTGAGTGAGATTAACCCTTGACATTCAGTTAATGTTTCCCTCACTATTACTGTATCTATTAATTTATTAATTCATGTACTTATTTTTCTAGGTAAACTGGGATAGATGATCCTTTTTTTACTCATGGGGCATTTGGCTAATGCCATCAACCATATCTTGAGTTAGTGACAGGGTAAGAAATGATTTTATCCCCACATCTTAGGAAATGCTAATTGATGCAGGATACAAGGAAGCTAATGTTTGTAGTTATAAGTCAATTATTTTGGATCAACAGAACTAAAGCAAAAAACTTTCTCAAGTCTGTTGCTCTATTTATGACCTGTATCTGATGTATCAAAACTTAATTGTTTGAGGTGATTGTAGTCTAACAGTGTGACTAGAAAGGGTTATTTGATTTTCAACCCAATGAGCCCAGCACCATACAATTCATACATGAAGTGGACAAGTTATGGCTGTACCATGGACAACATATCATTCTATGATCCAGATATCATCATTATCATCCAAGCCTTGTCCCAACTATATGGGGTTGGCTATATAAATCCTGTTTTTCCATTCCATTCTATTTATTGTCATATCCATTGTTATCTATGATACATCATTAATTATCTAAATAGTCATGCAGATAGGAATGGCAATGGGGCGGGTTCAGGGTGGGGCACCCCCTCCCCATCCCTGTCTCATATTCAAAATACCCTACCCCGTCCCCTCCCTGTCCCTAATGGTGGGGTGGGGCACCCACTCCCCATTGGGGACGGGGAATCCCTGAATTTTTCCTTCCCCGGTGCAACTACCTACAAATACATCTTATTGATATGGGACTTTGGGGTATTTTATGAACTGGATTATAGAAATTTGGGAGTATTATAAAAATAAAATTATGGGATCCTGGGGTTTTAAGAATTTGGTGTAACTTAGAGGCATTTTAGAAATTAATATTAAACCTGGGAATATTTTACTAGTTTACCATCGGGTTTGGGGAATTATATGCAAACCCCGTCCCCGCCCCATCCCCGCTTAGGGGCAAAAATATTTTCCCCACCCCTGCCCCTTTCCCATTTAAGATCGGGGAAAACCTGCACACATTTGAGGCGGGGCAGGGCCTCGGTTTTACGGGAAAATTGCCATCCCTACATGCAGATTTGTGATGGATACTATTTCAGGGTTATTTGTGTCTTTTCTTAGAACCCTATAAGTTATAGCATTTGTTAGTAGAGGACAGAAGTTCTAGTTTGTTTTGAGGTTTGAAAAAAAAAATTTATTATTAAATCAAAAGTATTACCTTTTTTTATAAATTTCAAGTTTACTATCTAAATGTTTCTCTTACTACTAAAATAATTCCCACACTAATATTTATGGTGTATTGCAACTTACTATTTTTAGTAAGATAATTCTTCTGGATATAGTTCTCTTAATATAAGGAATGTCCTCTAGTATACAAGATCCATTGTCATAGAGAAAGAAGGCTGAATTGGTGAACAAAATTATGTTTAGTGAAAACATCTTGTAGGGATTACTAATTAGCTGCAGGTATTGTCTGCCTGCTCTTATATTTTTTGCAGCAGAGTGGAATTTGTCGAAAATGAAAATTTTTAGCCGTCAAAGTCTCCATTGTAGTGCAGTTTGAAATGACATTTGGGGGGAGGGGGTAGTCATTTCAAATCTGTGAAATCAAGACAGGAATGGAATTCAAATCCATATCCACACCCCAATCTAAAGACAGCCTTATATTCTTCTTGATTGTCTTCTGTTGTTCTGTTTTCTATGTTCTCTCATTCCCTTCTTCTTATTACTTTTTTTCCCTTGTGTTTCTGAATTTCTAATCTTGAATTTATTGCAGGTTATTACTGTAATCTGACTAGGTGTGGTAAGGCGGTCGTGGTGGTCTGACTCTGAAAGTCCTGAGGAGAATGGCGGTGGCAGTGATCGTTGATTGCTAGGAGAGAGAGAGAGAGAGAATATGGGTTCCTCTCTCTCCATAATGGGCTTGGTGGATATCTTGTTAATGGGTCCTCATATGGGTATGGGGCCATATTTATAATGATTTTGGGCTCTTGGAATTCTAGAATTTTTCTATATTTTATCTTTGCCCATTTTTCATTTTAACTATTATTACAGAAAATTCTAACACTTAAATTGATACAAATAGCTTTTCTTGAGTGAATAATTGGTCTAGGATTGGTCTGGTCTAGCTTGGGTTCATGCCAGGTCAGCCAGGTTAACATACTTATATAAATCCATTGTCTTACAATCACTATTCTTTACTATCCCTTTACTCAAAATAACCATCCTTGAGACTATCATTTTTTTCACTCTAAAATTCCCCATCTTCCCTATATACTTTTCTCATTCTCATCCCCATGTTAAATACTTGATTCTCACACCCATGCACCATCACTAATAATGCAAATTCCCATGCTAAAATTCATTTACATAGCATATTTTATGAATAAATGCCCTTTTTTACCTAGTACATGTTCTGTTTTGCTAAATCAAAGTTATCATATATACAATAAAAGACACGTTGATGGACCAGGGCACATTAGATGGTAAGAGTACATCTAATGGTACCTAAATTGCAAGCAAGAAATTGTGGTTCTTTCCTTTTGTTAGCTACGAAAATAGTTCCATTACTTAGGATCATACTTATGACTTATGAGGCTTCCAGGGTCAATAATAACTTGAGCTGTCAAATTCAGTTAAAGGTTTGCATTTTAAAACCTTAAAGGCATGTTTAGAAAAAAATGATAGAAAATTTGGCAAAGTTACCTCTGGTGGAGAAAAAGAAAGATAGCTAGAGTAAAGCTCTTTTGTTGTACTAGTACATCCGGGCGTCTCCAGTTGCAAATGAAACATTAGAGGATCGAATATTGGTGGATAGCCTACTACATGATCAATATCCACATAATGAGATATGGGTGGCCTGCCAACAGAAAGAATTTCATATTGTCAATGGGTGAAAATTTTCACTGGTACTTATAACTAAAACATTTCTGCTTGGGACATGATTAAGAATCAGAGGAGACAGTTCTTTCAAAAGGATCATAGAAATAACTAAATGGAAATGATACTAATTCAGTGGATAACTGTTGTTCTGCAGTGGTTTGTAAACCAAAAATCTAAAAGCATGAGATGTTTAAATAGAAATTAGAAAATATGAGGAAAGCGATGGCATCATGCACTAACCAAATATTTAACAATGCACTGAAATTTATATAATTTCACATCTTTTGTGAACCAATGAGTACTCAGTCAGTTTTGATGTATGCAGAAAGTCAACTTCATATTACAAACCTGCACTGTTGGGGTTCTTGGATAAAGTGTGACCAGCAAGGAACTTTTCTATGAATCTGCCATAGTTGATCCCAAATTTCTTTTGTGTATAATGAATAATTAAGAGATGCTAGAGCCCATAAGTTGTTAAAATAGAACTCCACTTTCTTTGCTAATTTTGGACAATTAGCAATATAAATTCCAACTTCTTTCACCTAAACACAATAAATAAGCATTAGAAAAGTAAAACATTATCCATCTCAATTAGTTAACCTGTAACATTTTAACTAAAAAAAGAAAGAGCACACAAGCATTAAAAAGATAACCCTAGATGATTGATATGACACAATTACACAAACACATTATATGATGTCTTGTTCTAAAGAGTGAGGAAATAGTCTTCTTTGATGGCAGACATAGAGTGCTTTACTGAACAATAAGGAAGCTACACTTGGGTAATTAGGGGGTAAGGCATTTAAGGTTAAAAAGTAATCTTAGAAGGCTACCAGACTATGATGAATTACATAATTTCCTACAAAATTGTGGCAGAGACTGAAAATACTATATTTCCAATTAATCCTGATAAGATTCCACTTCATTGCTAACTTTTCCTATCAAATGGAATCCTGATTCCCATGACCATTGTGAAGCTTCCCAAGGGCCTCCTTTTATCAGCCCACCCCCTTTATGTCTTCTGTAAAGCCTTTTTTTTTTCCATCTGCTTAATAAAATATAAGGCTACTCATACCAAAAAAAAAGAAAAATCCATGTGGCAGTATTCCCATTTATCAAATCAATAGACACAAGCAGATCTACAATAGCAGAAAACAAACAATAAATGAAGATTTATGGGGGCTTTGGTACTTGTATCTAAACTGGTACTCCTGTCCTCCTTCTATCCAGACTTTGGGTAGCAGGTTTCTTTCTTGGAATGGATGAAATTCCTACTGTAATTTATAAAAAAAAAAAAAAAACAAAGTGGATTTGACTGACCAATACTGTTAGAGTGATGCAGGAATGGAAGCAAGGAAAGAATCCATGGGACAAAGAAATTAGTTTTCTCCTAATTCATTATCCAATAGGAAATTCATAAACGTTTGGTGTTTAGATTTTAGTATTTTTGAGCCCTTTTAAATTTATTTTGTAGTTTATTAATGCCTTAGGGATAGGATTAGAAAGGGTCAATTTAGTTTATAGAGATTTATTAGAGTGTTTTTTAATCTTTAAAAAGTAGAAGATGTATAACTTCTACTCATCAATTCACCTTCATTCTCAGTATTCTCAGTTATCTGCTTTTTATCCTCCTGCAAAGAAATTTCCACACATCCACTTTTAAAGCAAAAATCTGATGATGTTTTTTTCTTGACCTGCGTGTTCTCTCCGTAAACTGATCATATGGCTCTATGAGTTCTTAATCCACCTTAATTCTTTTTTTTTGGCAAATCCAGTCCAGACAAACCACTTTCAACCTAAAGATGACTTTTGCAATATCAATCAACGAGACTCTTCACCAAATTCCCTTCAAATGTAGAAACCAGTAACCTATCATTAGGTAAATAAGGCTCATAAGACATAATTCTTGATACTTATAGCTATTATGAAAATCCAATATACATAAATAAAGTAGATGGAAGGGTTGAGGCTTACAAGAGTGGTAAAAATGTTAACAATAGAATGTCATAATGGTTAATCAATTGTCCCTCTTTATTTTCCCTTCTAAAAGAATTTTCTTCATAGATACCAGAAACAATAAATGTGATAATGATAAGAAAATAGTGAGTTTTTTAATTATAAATAACAGTTCAATTTTATCAATTGATGAAAACAAGAAAATGGTGAGTTGAGTGAGAATAACACTATTTTTTTTTTCAGCTAGCATGATAAACAGGTTATCATGGAACCTCTTTCTACAATTATGAAAATAGTTTACAATTTTCTCAAAAGTCAAAACATGGCGAAATTTCACCATTTCCCTAAGGGGAAAGTTAAAAATATCCTGGAAGAAAAAATAAAATTCCATATCTCTCTCAACATTTCTCTGATATTTCAAAAAAAATTCAATGTATCAATGAAATTTCAATTTGTTATTTGAAACAATCCAAATTTTGATGAAATATTACAGAAATTTACTACTTTTTCCAAATCCAAAATTGATTTCAGACATTTGATCTAGCAATTTTAACTAACTAGGTTTTCACTTTTCAGAATATAAAGCTCTTTGAAAAATTGTAGTTGAATAATTAATTTAAGAATAATTAACTCTTTATTATAATCATACAATTATGTAAATAAAAATAATTATTATAGCCTCATAATTTAAGATATAGATTATTTTAATGAACCTAAAAGTAAAGGAGTTAGAATATAAGAGTTATACTTGATTTTTAAGATATTGATCTTGCATGGTAATACTTAAATGTTCCTTCCTATTAAAGACCATTTAAAGTTCTAATCTTCAATAAATTGTTGTACAGTGTCAGTTGTTAAACTTTAGGTTTTAAGTGTGTAAAAATACCTTTTGCATATTTCCTGAAGTTTTCTAAGTACATTCTATAAACTTTCTAATCTTTTTAATACTTTTCCAATTTCTTCTGATTTTCCAGCTATCTGAGCAAAATTTATGAAGTTTCTCCAAAATTTTCCCAATTGTACATGGAAAAATTCCAACTTCAAAGAATGATAATGGTAGTTTTGTTTGTTAAAATGCTTAATAGATACACTGCAGGGTACAATTCAAGAACATGAATGAGGATGCTGTTTTACCCTGTCAACTGGGGCAGAAATCCTAGGGACCATCCGGTAACAGAGGAAGTGGCTGAACTCAATAATTTGCTGCTTTTTCTTCTAGTGGACAAATAGTTATATAATAAAATATTCAGTTGTAAAGTAACCAACTTGCATTCCATTCGGCAATTATGGATCTGACAACCTACTTAATCATTTATTCAGTAAAGCAGAAAAAAAAAGACATTCAGTTTGTCCACTTCAGCCATTATCAAACAGAACCTTAATACCTTCTTTTAACAAGCATACATATGTATATAAATATAGCTAATAGAAGATCACGCATTCTTTCATTACTGGACAAGATAAGTTTTCTATTGAATAAATATGAGAATACCTGAGTGAGAGATTTCCAGTCATTGTTAGCAGAACCAATATAGATATCTTTACGATCTGATATCCAGGCTTTTGCATGGACAATGCCAGATCCCCACCATTGATCAAGCTGCAAGGTCACAACCTCCACATTTGGCCTCCCTGAAGCGAGGTTTGATGATTCATTGGTATAATAAGGATAAAATCCGGAGTGCTGTAAAATCCTATAGAAATTTAAATCCAGAACAAAGACATGAGTTTACTTACATAAACTAGAAAATAAAAAAGGCCCTTAAATTAAAGAACAAATAATGGCAACAGTATAATGGAGTTGGCATGTATAACAAGGGATAAAACAACCATCAATATACGGAATTATAGTTATCCAAACATTTTTTCTTCTTTAAAAAAGAACTAAAGACAGGTATTAGTAAGCTTCTCTTCGGTATGACATACAGATAAATAATAGGAAGATTTTGCCACCCATGAGATGGTAATCATGCCTATATTCCTTTTGAAGCCTCAAACTGTGCTTGGTTGCTTACCTATTGTAGTACTACACGGTCAAGTATATTAACATGATGGCAATTTCATTCTGAAATGTATAGAAACTTTATGAAATAAATGGCATGATGGAGACCAGTAAACTTGGTTCAAATGGTAAATATAGCATAAACACAATTGGACTCCATTTCAAATCGTCCATGTTTGATGATTACATGGTTTGACAACTCACTCCATTCTCCCACATCGACACTGAAGCCAGCACAAAAGAAGGCCAGTGTCAACCTCTTTATTATGAGTTCCCCTGATTGCAAACCATCCATCCACTTCAATCTCTAGAACTGAACTGAATTGATAGCTCTTTTGACAGCAAGCATTATAAAACTATTCCAAGAAATATATACCAATTTCTTTCATCAAAAGCATAATCCCTAAACCCAGAACTTGGAACAAAACAAAACCAATAAAATCCACACTTTCGTTAACAGCATTGACTGGAGCCTCTCCACTTACTTGTTTAGTATCTTCAACTGATTGAAGATTTCTGTATGCAGCTTCTGCACCTGTTAACTCTTCCTCTAACTTCAACTAAATGACAACTAAAACTTACTAATCGAACAAAAACAAGAAGAGAATTTGCTAATGCCGTTAACATCTCAAAGTGCAAATCTATTTCGATTAACTAAAACAAAACTGGCAAATCTACCTCATATTCACTCTACGATCAGCAGCACTTTCGATTGCGCTATAAACAGTGAAACCATCATCAGCTCCGAAATGCTTCATACTGGACTTAGAGTAACCATAATCTCCTGATTGAGGGTCATCGGGGTGAGCCAAGAGCTGCCAATACTGTGCAATTATGTCCAGTCTCCGAGTAGAGTTTCCGGCTAACCACCGGAAAACATCAGCTAATAATGAATTGGACAATTGGTTAGCCAGAGCAGAAAGAAAGAAAGAAAAAAGTAAAGATAAATAGCTTGATACGAGAGAAAGCTCGTTACCAGTGGAAAGAACGCCCTTGACAGGACGGAGGTAAGGCATGTCTGTGGGGATTGACTGGACGAGCCATCCTTTGCACCCATAAATGGGATCAGTTAGAGAAGGTACAGCAAATGAACCGACACAGAGACTGAATACGAGAAGAAGCAAAAAAGCAGTGGCTGTGGTTGCTCTGTTCTTCATCTCTCTCTGTCTCTTAGCAATCTGTAGGCTTGCTGGAGAGCAGAGCTGAGGTTGGACGAAGAATTCGATTCGAAATGGTAGAGAATTCGAACTGGAGAAGCTCAGGTTGGCGCCTACTCTGTGAATCTGTAACGAAAGAGACCTTTATAGGCACGGCGCACGGAGCGGCCTGGCTTGACCCCTCTGCCGGAGTCACATCTGCTGCGGCCATAGTCGCAGCACTTCTTGCTAAAGCCAATAAAACATGTACGAAATCTTGTTTGTCGTAAGTCCAGAACTCAGAAGTCAGAACGCCAGAATATCTGCCGTTTTGATCGGTTCGCTAGTGTGTCCGTAATGGGGCGGTAAAAAGAAAACAATGTGACCATGGTTACAGCAGATATGAATTCCGTTGGCCGTTAGCTACTTGCTGGGCCGTGGATGGAAATGTAAATCACGGGCGTCCCGAATTCCTGGCAGATGGAATTCCAATTCCCAAAGCATTGCGGAATCTGGCCCCACGAAAGCTATTTGGCATTCAGTGAGGAAGCTTCCGCTGGCCCCACATCTTTCTCTTTTATTGTTGGCAGCATATGTCAGTGGGCCAACTGAAGTGAGACGAGAGGGGATAAGCCAGGGAGGTTCATCCGGTTTCGCTGTCATTTCCTGGTCTGTCCCAATGAAATTCTTTTTCCCTTTTTATCCTATCTTTCCGGGCTGGAGTTAGGGCATGAAATGGAGCGGGGTGATCCATCATCCTACCCGAAACTGACCCAAATGCACAACTAGGCGGGAGCAGGATGGGTTCAACTATATGATATGAAAAAGATATCATATCTGAAAAAGTTCTGACCAGTCAACTGAAATCATAAATGTGGTAGTCAAAACTCTTCCCATATTATATCCTTTCCACATCAGACTTTCCCATTCAGTTGGATTCAAATTGAATTCGGATTATAATTGCATATTGAATGACATTAATATATTAAATTAAAAATGATCAAAATATTATATATTATCAATAATATAAATTAAAAATGACTTTTGATATAACATCTTATGAATAAAATTACATTGAAAATAAATTTATGAAACTTGAATTATTATCATCATCAAAGTCTTGTCCCAACTATAAGGGGTTAGCTACATGAATCTTGTTTTGTCATTCTCTTCTATTCAATGCCATATCCCGAATAAATTATGATGCTTAAATCATTTTTCATTACTTCCACTTAAGTCATTTTTTTCTTTTAGTTTTCCCTTAGCTCTTTTAACCTCTTGAGCTTGCAATTGTTTACTTTTTAATAACAATCAATGACTCTTTAAAAATACAAAATTGATGCTAGCTGTACTAATAAATAAGACATAAACTTTAAATATAAACAAATGCATTTAAAACGAATTTAATTAGATTATATCAATTCAGCTATGGGTGGATTCATATTTGATGTAATTATAAACGGATCGAATTCGAATCAATCTTAATCGGATACATGGATACCATTTGCAACCCTAGAAATAGAGGATTTTCCATTTAAATTTTTACAAGGGATGTAATGAATATGGCTAATAAAAAATGGGATGTGCCCAAATCAACCTCTTGTCTGTTGTGAAGGCTCTCCATCTATCAATTAAGTGAAAGGACCCTCTTAGAATGTGGATGAAGCTTGGACTAAGATTTGGTTGTATCATTACTTGTCCTTCTCCAAAAAGATTTTAAACTAGACATACACGAATATTTCCATAATTTAAAGCAATGTCTTGCTTAAAAGAGTTTATCTCCTTCCTTCCTTCATGCTCTCCTTAATTTGTGCTGTACTGCACGAACCCCTCTAGTTTCAATTAAGAAAAGCAGACAAAAATAAACAAATAAGTCATTTTGACAAGTTTCATCTATTTTTCTGCCTTGTCTCTCGCAAAAACAAAGTTTATCTCCTTATACGTCCAAACAAGCACAACCCACAGAAACAATGAAAACCTGTTTCCAGAATATGACATGGCCCATCTTCTGTGGCCTGGCTCCCAATCTTGGTCTATGGTTCAGTCATCTTCTATAACAATATCCCATTCTAGTGAATGATAAGTAGTTGGCTGCATTGGAGCCCAAGCCCATGGCCCAAACATCTCAATCCATCTACTGTCCTATGTATACTTGTTGGTTTCTCCTAATTTATAAATAAACTTCAAGTTGATCCACCCTGTTTTGATTCTCGAATTCACTCAGTTATGAATTCAATAACTACCAAAACATGTCAATAATCTACTTCGTATAAATGACACATTTTGGCTAGCTTCATGATGGACATGACTAGAAAAGTTTATCACAATTGGGGGGGTGGGTCTCCAATGTGAAATTTACTTTTTTTTTTTTGTTGTAAATTCCAAAAACAAATAACAAATAACAAATATATCGTTCAGAACAAAGAAAACATGTTCTTGATTGTATTTGCGTTTTTTTTTTTTTTCAAAACTGAAACTAAAAGGAGGTTATTAAATTTATGATTTAAAGAGAATGTTTTCATTTAATAATTGTTATCATGTTTATGGGACATTTTTTTTAGAGAGAGGTGTTTTATAGGGCATGGGTTGAAGTAGTTAGAAATGATTTAAGTGTCATTAATTTTACAATGGATATGATGGATATGACATTAAACAGAACATAATAGAATAGCGTAGCGGGATTCATATTGCAGACCCCATATAGTTGGGATAAGGCTTGGATGATGATGATGATTGCTATGATATCTGTACAGTACAAATTGTTCTTGTTTAAGAAACCATGATTTGATAGTTTTGAAAACATGCATGGATTGGTTTTTTGAAACAAAGGCAACTTGTTTTTGCTTCTCAAGACAAAAACATAATCCGCAAACATGTTTCAATTTTCTTGTTGATTAGAAATTCTAAAAACAAATGAAAAAGAGAACATTTATGTTGTAGAACATCTGGTATTACCAAGTTCATGATACAACGGCCTTTTTTTTAAGGGTCGGGAGTGCCCATCCCATACCCATAACTCCTCCTACCCTGGTGGCAGTGGGATTCGATCTCAAGTATTTGCTAGAATGACAGAAGTGACTATACCAATTGAGCCACCCATCATTTGGTCATAATAATAATAGATGGGGCCTTGGAAATTTAGCAATCTGGGATCCTGAACTTGCTGAGTCAATGCCATGAATTGTATGAATTAATGCCAAAGTCAAATATTGTTGCTATCAACTAGGTGTGCAATTGAATCAAGTTTTAATCTAACAGTTTGGGTTCCAGTTCGATTAGGCTCGATTCGAATTCAAATCTCAGTATAAGTTCAGTGAGTTATTTCTCAAATTTAACCAGTAAAATATTCGGCTTGAAAGCTCACGGATCTGGCTTGATTGATATATCAAACTGGAAAATAGAGGTCAGATCAAATTTGAGCTCAAACATAGAAGTATTTTAATCAAACCGAGTCAAGACATGCGAAAGTTCAACTTGGCTCAATTTGATTGCACCCCCCTAGCATCAACTAATCTGGAACTTAGCAAGGCTCAAAGTATCAATACCTTAGATAGGCATAAATTTCATATCCAAGAGTTTTTAACAATTGATACTCTAATTTTTGTTTTTATTTTTTCAGTTTGACAAATTGAAAATATGCATAAATGAGGGTAAATATCAATGTTTAAACCCATTAAACAGCCCTTGTTCTTTAACATTTAACATATCGGTAACTCTCAAAACTGCCACATCGTACAAAAAACCACAACCAGATTCCTTGGGCTATACTGCTATTCATTATTAATCGAGGTTTTAAATAGAAGATTTGCTTCTCCTTCGGCTATTCATTATAATCTTAATGAGATCACGTAATGTTGAGTTTTCCTTGACATATGGTTCTTATGATGTCCATATGAACGAGAATGATTTAGGATTTTAACTGCGAAGACTAATCCGGGAAGATCATTTGGGCTAGTGTGTGGTTCAGGTGAAATAGTTGTCTTTTTATCTTTATTTTTTGGGTTGGGTTGAGTTGGTGAGGGGGAGTTTTTGTATTGTTTGGGTTTGGGGCAAGGTGGGTCACGTCCTCCCCTGTATTTACAGCTCTTCTGTGCTTTTTTTTTTAATAAAATTTCAAGGTGGATGCCCCTTCATTTGGAGTAAACTAGAAAACAAAGAACCACAAGGTCCACAACCATGATCTCCTGCAAGTAAAAACTCTGTTCAGCATCTAGCTGCACATTGGGGATATCTTCCTTGCATTTATATTCAATTTATAGGAAGATGTTCCCAATATACAGTGGGATTCCCAAGCTTTTACAGTGTGCAGAGTTTTTGCTTGCAAGAATCCTGTCGCCCAATTAAGTGACTTCAAATGGTACTGAATTACAGCAATGACATAGGTTGAGATGGATCCTACTTATTTCAGGTTAATCCAGCAAGAGGAGATAGGTGTTCTTATATTGGATACAAAACCAGTTATTCTCTATCCGAAGCAACAGAGCCCATGTATGAAGATTCAAGCATGTCAATAGAATTCTATGCAATATACCAGTATTTCACCCATTGGTGATCCAAGAAAATTTTAAAGAAGTATGTCTCTTTGGGTCCATCCAAATTAGAACCATCCTCCAGCACATTTGGCTTATGTTCAAAATTATTTATTGCTGTTTAATATGGGTATGCTAGAACAGCCTATGCTAGACAAACTTAAAGCCTTTAGGATCTGTTTGGTTTACAGTCAAAATCGGAATTGGAACTGGAATCGAAATCTTTCGGAATTGAAATTGGAATGGTTTATTCCCATAGTTTGTTTGGTTCAGACAGAAATAGAAATGAGAATTAGAATCAGTAAAAATGGGATTTCATTTCCAAAGGAGGGGCAGGGAATGACGATTCCCTCAAATGGGATATGGGAATGAAATTCTAATTCTGCCCAATCAAATAATTAGAATCGAAACAACCATTTCACTTCCAATTCCAGACCCCTATTCCCGTGAACCAAATGGGGCCTTAATCTCTGTCTTCATAGTTGGCTCTATGACATGCCTTACAAGCTGATTCTAACTTTGTTGGATAACTCGTGACATTCCTTCCAAGCTGGTTCAAGTTTTGTTGGGTGATATTGAGTAGGGACAAAGGGAATTGCTATCTTTCTCTCTTGCCATTTAGCAAACAAACCACTTTTGCTACCACGAAATCAAAGCCTTTGATGTATTTCTGCTGAGGCCCCGCCTTGAATTAAATGGGTGGATGTTATGGTGGGGCCGTAGAAATACATCATAAGTCATTTAGCCTTACGCTAAAAGCCAACTCAGATTACCACTGTGGGTATTATCATCGGTTTCACAGCTCGCTAAACAGCTATTGCGTTCAGGAATTCCAATGCTTTTTGCCAAAAGGCCCCAAACCAGAAAATTACAAGATGGGCTGGTATAGGGATATTTTTGCCCATGCAGAGCACGATTACCAAGATATCCACATCTATAATGATCAGGATATCCATAAAAATGGACAAAAAAACTCATAAATTAAAGCTTGAATGAAGTACCAAAATACCCTCAGGCAGAATGCTTTAGCAGCAATTTCTCCTGCTGGTTCTAAAGAATAGATTAGTTTCTTGCATAAAGGAACTTGCCGTGTTTCTCCTTGGTAAGGGTTTCTGAGTTTCTCTAACTCAACTGATTTGTGCAGATTTAGGTGGTTTTGTATTGATGTATGATTTTGCTTGCTGATTTGACTCCACATAAGCAAATTAACTACTATAAAGAAGTATTTAGTTGGGCAGATTTAACTTGAAAGGCAGCCACTTAGTATGGAGCAGAATATTAAGTAGTCAAGAAACATGTCCAGCGTGGCAAAAAATTGTATACTGAGATGAATGAGTGGGAAAACTAAGAATGATAGCACCCCAAACTTCCAATAGGTGATAAACTAAAAGAAAATAAGATGAATATGATGATTTTGTCATGTACAAAGCCACCAACAATACCCGTAAAAAAAGGTGATCTATTACAAGTTGAAGGGGCTAAAAGGGTGAGGATAGACCAAATATACAGAATGGATGATGAAACGGGATTCATGTGGCCGACCCCATATGGTAGGGATAAGGCTTGAATAATAATGATGAGATGATTTAACTTGAAAGGCAGATATCATATTTTGCACTGGGTTATGTACAGGGGTGGCAGCCTATTGACAGGTAAGAGGTCAAGACAGAGGTTTCTTTTATTTGAAGGACATTTCCGCTCTATTTGTCCTATGTGGTTGTCTAACGGTATTTACACTTTTTTTTTTTTTTTTTTTTATGGTTGAAAAACACCACAATGCCAAACACCACCTTAATCCCAAATCCAATTTGATCTAGGGTTTTAAGAACTCCATGTGTGTGTGAAGGAAAGAATGAGAGATCTGAAAATTACCTCAATGTTTGGGGATTACAGTACGTGGTAACAAATTAAAGAAAATGGAATAACTCTGTCTAGTCTTTTCCAATTCATGCAGTGAGGATTTGGAAGCTTCATTTGAACCTGCTCTCTCTTTCACAAGATGGTTCTGATATAGGAGAGTCAATAGGTCAGGTTAAATGATAAGCTCGGCTAGGTCTGATCGTATGGGGTTTGGTTTGGGGCAAGTTTGTTAGAGTGTAGGGTCAAATTAGGGTTTCAGTGTTTCAACCCAAGTTAGTAGGTTCAGATTTCATTATCCTATCCCGCCAGGCTATGATATCCCACATACACAACAGCACAAACACAATGTTTCTATTTCTACGTACACACGTAGAAATAAGAACGCTTTCATTACCCATTTACCCTTATTTATATTATCCCTTGTACCCAGTGTTTTAAAAATCGACCGGAAGATCAAACCGTTTTTTGCTTTTGGGTCACGGGTCACGGGTTTGACTATATATATGTGTGTATAGGTATGTATAAATAAATAAATAAATAAATATATATATATATATTATCAATAAATAATATATAATTATGTTTTACATATAATATATTTTATATTTTTATGTTTATTAATTTAATTTAAAATATTTCATTTATAAAAATATTAAAAATTGTAATTTAAGGCCAAAAAAAGGTCTTTTTTGGAAAAAAATAACAGAGCACCTTGAGACGCATAGATCTCGAAAAATTATCCAAAATAAAAAAAAAACACCTCAATCAGACATTGGAGTGCAAGGTTATGGCCTCCTAAAGTTTGCATACTCAGTTAGTATGCAACTTACGACCTAGTCACCGGGTCGAATGGATCAACGGTCCAATCATCCAGATCAGATGGTTTTTACCAAGTCAATAGTTTTTTACCTTCTTCATGTTTTACTCAAACCGGACCCAAAATCTTGACTGAGTGACGATTCAAACGGTTCAACCAGCCAGATCAACGGTGGGTTGAAAACCCTTGTACCTAATTATAATTGGTCATAATTCACAAGTCATATACTAGTTTACATCTTTCCCCATTTACTGTTTGTCTTCGGTTCTATCTCATCCAACAGGAAATGTAGTTCTACAAATTAAAATCAAAGTCCACATTTTATTTTACACTTCACTAGAAGCTATCTGTCTCACCAAAGATGTGGGATTGCAGCAAGATGGATACAAGTTCTATATCCTCCACATTGCACCATGCACATATCAACATCTATATTGGTATTCTGGATTGACTGGTGGATTTTTTCCTGGATTAGGAGGCCATTTGTATATATGCATCAGCTGTTGGACGAAACTAAAGAAAAAACATTAGACTCTGGAGCTAAAAGTGAAAAGATCTCCTTGACCTCAAAACAACACAAATTAGTAGTAGAAGCACTAAAAACCCTGCTCTGACCTCAAAACAACACAAATTAGTAGTAGAAGCACTAAAAACCCTGCTCTGATCTCAAAACAACACAAATTAGTACAAGAGCAGCTTCCTCTCTGCACGAATGTTTTCTGCTGACCAGAAGTGGATAGTTCAAGGAAGAACGCTTGTTTGTCTCACAAAAAGTGGCAAAATCAGGAGAGTGGCTTTGCACGAGTGGCTGGGTTTTCTTTGGATTCTACCCATATTATGAACACATAGCCAAATACCCATAAAAGGATGTACCGAAGAGGAACCCAATGTAAACATGCGAGAAGACTCAGAATGCTTCCTATGTATTGCGGATCCCTGATGTATCCAAAAGGGAATTCTGTTACCCAAGGAATGTCTTTTCCAAAGCGTACACCATAGTAAGTACCAGTCTCACCCAGCAACTGATATACCCTGTAACTTAAATTCTTCAGTATAACAATCTCACATATTAAAGTACAACACACAGATGAAATTTGCAAACAAAATAATTTGAATGGAGAACAGATAAACCTCAACAAAATCTAGCATGTTTAGAGTCTTCTAGGTTTAAAGCGTGCAGTAGCAAACAAAAATACTGAGAGACCTACTGACAATTTCAAAAAATGGATGGGATAGATGGGACCTACTGACAACTCCTCATATAAAACCTACCAGTAGAAACTGCTACTTTGAATGCTTCCTTCACATTTTCCCAGAGGCAAACAAGACTGAATACTTCAGAAAGGTTGTGCCTCATGGTCCAATAAGATGGACCTTGGTACCTGAAACACTTTTTGGATTGAACAGCTTCTTTTTGCAAGATCTGCTAATGACCTAGCGGATGGTATAGCTCAATACTGTGTTTCTAGGTTTCTACTGTGGTTCATCATTGTGAAAACCTTATTTAGTCCTAGGTTATAGTAGAGAAGAAGAAGAAGAAGAAGAAGAAGAAGAAGAGGAGGAGAAGAAGAAGGGTTCGGCCAATAGAGGAAAATCAGTCATCTCTCTAGTTGACCCACTTGTATTTATCTCCAATAACATAGTTACAAGAAAGACCATATTGTCCCTCATAAGTGATGGGACACATAACTTAAATAAAACAGACCTTTCACTCTCAAATAGATAAACCCAAAT